TGCCCACAGTGGAGGCAGGTTCCCATAACGAGCGACCAGCTGGGACCTGAGGCTGCGTGAAGCTGGGCCAGGGCGGGGGACCTCAGGCCATGCCCCCCACCCAACGGGGCTTGACGGGGGACCTCAAGGCGTGCCTCCCAGGCCATGCCCTTCACCCTGGGCCCCGGGACCTGAGGCTGTGCCCCCTGCCCAGGTGCTGGCCTGGGGGACCTCAGGCTGTGCCCTTCGCCCTGGGCTGAGGGATTTGAGGCCACACCCCCAGCCCCGGAACTGGCCAGGGGGACCTCAGGCCACGCCCCCCACCTGGTGGGGCTTGACGGGGGACCTCAAGGCGTGCCCCCTCCCCTGGCGGCGGGTCAGAGGACCTCAGGCCACGCCCCCCGCCCCAGCACTGGGCCAGGGCACCTGAATGTGCACCGGTGGACCTGAGGCTGCACCCCCTGCCTGGCGCCAGGGCAGGGGACCTGAGGCTTGATGGAGGTGGGGCCAGCCAGGTCTGGGTCTTGTGTGATTTCGAGGTGCACGTGGGTGGGTGGGGACTTGACTCTGGGACCCGCGGCGTGCCCCAGACTCTGACAGGAGAAAGATTTTCATATACATTTTACTAATTTTCTTTCATCTCTGACACTTCTACTATAGAGAAGGGCAAATAACAATATTAAAATATTTCCTCTAATTAATTCCCTTTTAATGTACATGAATTTCGTGCACCAGGCCACTAGTTTAACATAAAACAGCAGAGTTTCTAGAAAATACTGGTATGGTTATAAAAGTCTTTGCTGCTAAGAGGATATTCCTTGACATGCTAAGACCCCTACCTCCAAAACATGAGAAACTTCCACCTAGAACCCAGAGTCTTAAACTTCACTCATGAGTGCATAGAGGTTGTCCTATAAGACACCTGTCTTAAAGGGTGGCAGGCAGAGCTATAGAATGAGAACTGAGCTGGACATGCCCCACACTGATTCTCCAGCTCACTAACTTTGTTGGTTAGAGTCCAATGCCCTGAAAGGGCCTTTATTTTATAACTAGATTTTATCATAACCCTGCAGTAACCCTGAAGTTAAGCCTTCATGGCTCAGTGTTAATCTATTACTACATCTAGAAAAGCAACTCCAAGGCATGTCCTACCAGGGGCAGATGAGTAGTAGTACCTTCCTTTGCATACAGAGGAAGGGACAGAGCAGAAGGTGGACCCAATCAGGGACGTTCAGTATAGAATAGTGGTTAAGACTGAGGGCTTTGGAGGGAGATATGCTCATAGTTGATACTCAATACATGGTGACTTTTATCATTGTTATGTCTTCAGGGTTTATAAGTCAGTGTAGCATAATTGTTAAGAGCATGGATTTCAGATCCACATTGCTTGGATTCAAATCCTGGCTTCAAAGCTTGCTAGGTGTGTGATCTGGGCAAGTTACTTAACATCTCTGTGCCTCAGTTTTCTCATCTGTAAAGTAGGAGATAATAATGCCACCCCATAGGATGGTTATGAGCTCTAAATGAATTAGATTTTATAAAGCACTGGAAAAATAGGTGTTACCTATTTTTACTAACAATGAAAGCTATTTAATGCCAGTAAAATGAGAAAGAATACATGTGTATAGTAAGATACACTTATTTATATTAATAGATATAAATAAATAAATAAGTAATAGATATAAATAAGTCTAATAACATACATAGGTTAAAATCCTATATAATAAAAGAGTAATATGCAAATCAACTGAATGGCAGAATGACCGAGTGCTGCTCAGCCACAAGCCGGGCTGACGGCTGGTGAGTGCAGAGGTGGTGGCGGGAGCCTCTCCTGCCTCAGCAGCAGTTGGACAGCCCCCGAGGGCTCCCTGACTGCAAAATGTTGTGCACCGGGCCTCTAGTAAGAAATATGTGTGTGTGTGTGCTTGTATGTGCTCACACATATCTATATTAAGTATAGCAAAGCCAATTGGATGAAAAAAATGAACATAGTGACTTTTTACCAAGTCAGATATTGACGAACAATGGAGTTTTATGATGCACTATCTTTAGATGTTGACCTGCAACAGGATTGGTTGCTATGCAAGGAACATGAAAGTAAACACATTTCTGGCTGAAAGAGCAAATACTATTTGAACAGTAAGTTTCCTAATAAACCATGACCTAGAAATTACAAAGGTCAGATTGAAATTTCAAACTGAACTAGAACCACTCGTAAAGTCTTAAAGTCGTTAATCACCCCCGATAACATGTGTGGGCCAAATCTATGCCTTCCGGGTTCTGGTTTATCTTAGGACCTGGCTCCAGGACAAGCGTACGAGATGAAAAACTTCTGGGGTGCTCTTGCTCCTCTCTCTTTGTTGGTTGTGCAGCCAAGTGGGAGAGAACAGAGGGTCAAGTTTTCCACCCTTTGTTCACCCTAGAGTGATTCATGTTTTAGATGTTTCCAAAGCACAGAGAAACAGCATTTAACACCCGGGTTTCCCCATGCAAAGCATGAATGTTTCCCAATCCAAAGAATGAATATCTTGGCCCTAATGGTGTGTGCCCAACCTACTGTTTGCAAAAAGCCTCATCCAAAATATCAAGCATCTTGTTCTAGAACTTCCTAGTCCAAAGTCCAAAATCCAATATCCTAACTTCTTAAAAGAGCTACTTCAGTTTTTTTTTTGTTTTTTGTTTTTTTTTTTTTAACTTTTTAGTTGTGTTGACTTGAGTCTGTTGCAGTATAATGAAATTTAACAGAAGGGAGATTTCTATCACATTTCATTCAATCTCTGTTTCACATTCTCTCTAAATAAGGAATTTTTTTCCCCATTTAGATTACCATAAGGTGAGGATGCTACAAAAGTGTTATGAATCATGAACATTTAAATAAATCTGCTCTTTTGAGAGGTCGGTGTTCACCTGTAGTGAAAATATTATTGGTGAGATTGCTTCTCTAGTATCGTGTCCCTTCAAGAAGTATTAGAAGGATGCATGTGGAGAGATAAAGGAGAGAGCAAATGGGAGGACTCTGGGTTGCTTTGGGAAGATTTAGGGTCTGCCATTTGGGGGATTTCATGGGAGTATTTCAGGGCACAATTGTTTCTTGTGTTGAGGAATCTTAAAGGGGAATCAGGACCAAATTAAATATACCACGTGAAGTCTCAGATGAAACCTCCTGGAGCTTGGCCTTCTCACCCCCAATATGTTTTTATTGACTTTTAGAAAGAGAGGAAGAGAGAGGGATAAATAGAAACATTGATGAGAGAGAAACATCATCGATTGGCTGCCTCCTGCATGCCTCCCTACGGGGGGATTGAGCCCAAAACCTGGCATATGCCTTGACCGGGAATCGAACAGTGATCTCTTGGTTGGTGAGTCAATGCTCAACCACTGAGCAACACTGGCTGGGCCTCACTCTTATCTCGAAGCCCTCAGGCCCAAAAGGATGAGGACATTTGCATGAACAGTCAACCACCCCCACCCCATCTATCTCATTCTCAATAACACCCATACATAGTTGCTACCCCAAAGACTGTTTCTTTTTCCTTCCCACATTTTGCAATCTTTCCTGGCTCTCCCCCAGCCCATCCAGGTAAGCTCTTTTGTTTCCCCTTCCCTAACTGGCTCAGTGCTTTTCTGTTCCCGTCAACTTACCCTTGCATTCTTCTTTTCAAATTTATGTTTCATTATAACCCGAATCAGGTGCCACTCTGGACTTTGGCACAGGATGTGGCCCCCAACCCCAGGGGAGTGAGGTGGAAGCTGAGGCTTTCCTACCAAGGGGACTGGGTGAGTCAGTGCTGGGGTGACTCCCAGCTTAGACCTGGGAGACAGGCAGGGCCAAGTGGATCTGGATAAACTGAACCCAGTACTCTGGTAATATGCATGTAATTGTTATTATCTTCTCTTCCATTTGGGAGTATGGGAGCTGCTTATTTTGCTCATTGCTGTGTGCATAAGCCTAAGAATGGAGTCTGGCATATACTAGATACTTAAAAATACTGAGTGAATGACTTTATTGAGCCCCTGCTGGGTGTCAGGTATTGTTAGAGTTCCTAAAAGAGACAGGCATTGGCACCATCTTACAGATGGAAAAATAAAGGATAAAAGTGACTTTCTTCATGTTCCTCAAAATGGGGGCCGTTTGTGGATTTCCAGACCTCCAGCCTTAGTGTGTTTCAGCACAGAATTACCCTTGACCTAACTTTCTCTTTCCTTTTGTAGGAATGGGCCTTTCTAAGACATGACTTTTTCTAGGCTGACTTTTTTGTTAGTATTTGGCCTTTCTCTGTTTTTTTGTTTGTTTGTTTGTTTGTTTTGATTAGGAAAACAAGCATGGCGCCATGGAATCTGCCAAATGGATGTCCAGAAAAATGGCACCACCTGCCCGCATTAGCACGCTAGGGCTGCCATGCAAAGCACCACATTGTGGATGGCTCAAACAACAGCAATGCAGTTGCTCACAGTTCTGGAGGCTGGAAGACCCATATCAAGGCACTGGCTTCTGTGGAGGCCTCTTTCATTGGCTTGTAGATGGCGTCTTCCTCCCCGGTGTCTCTGTGTGGTCTTCCCTCTGTGCACTTCTGTGTCCTAATCTCTTTTTCTTATAAGGGTACCAACCATCACGGATCAGGGCCCAACCTGATGACCTCATTTTAACTTAATTACCTCTTTAAATACCGTATGTCCAAACGCAGTCACATTCTGAGGTACTGGGGGTTAGGACCTGAGAAGTACATGAGTTTTAGGGTGGGGAACACAATTCAACCCATAACATTAACCCTGTTTTCACAAAACATGGGGTAATGTCCAGGCCTGTTTTAAAAGGCCTCGTAATGGGAGTGTTATAACCAGGCAGCAAATTACAGCCTGTTTTCTGCTGTCTCTTGCGTCCTGTGGCTGCCTCTTTCTCCTCTTCTCCTTGGCCCCAGACAGATCAGCAAGGCGGTCAGAGCAGGTCACACAGGGATCCAGAAATCCAAGAAGAGGGTTTTGTAGCAAGTAAATAAAAGGAATTATCGACCATCTACGGCTCATTGTTTAAATTACCATGTTTATTTATGTCAACACAAAATACAATAAAACAACTTACAAAACCCATTTTATCTTCATGTAACATAACTCTTCAGTGAACAGAAGTACTACTGTTAATGTTTTGGCCTTTTCAAGGTCCAGCCCTGGGTCAAAACAGTATTCAGACAAATAGCAAATTCTTCTCTATATATACACAGGAGGAAAACTTACATTTTCTAAAATCCCATTCCAGTAATAATACAGAAATGTCACATGTCGAGGTGAATACTACGGTTGTGCCATCAGAATTGCAACTTCCTTGTTGCTCTAGATTTCCCCCAGACTGTGGGCTTCAGTCGGGAAGTATTGGGCACGTCAGCCCTTCAGGTTTCCAGCGTGATTGCTTAGTAATTTTTTTTTACCATAGCTGTGTACTCCACAAGTGTGAGATTTACCTGAGTTATTAAGAAACCAGAAATAAAGTCTCAAAGTAATCAGTGTGTACAGATCTACCTGTAAGACTGATGGAATTTACCATAGAGTAATCTGCTCCAATTCAGTGGAGAAGCATGAAGCCTCCATTACAGGATGAACTCTTCACGTAGCAAAAGACTTCACATTGGAATTTACTCAAAGGTAATAAACAGGGCACAAAAGTACAAGACTTCACCTGCAATCCAGTAGTCTAAATGCTGTATGTTCTGTCCAGCAAATGATAGTTGCTGTTTAACTCACAAGATCTTTCTATCATTTCACTGACTAAGGAGTCAGCCTCATGCTGTGGAAAGAAGACATGGTTTGGAGCTAGAAGATCTGGATTGTGGACCAGTTCTACTTACTCTCTGAACCCTAGCTTCCTTACAAGGATCAGAGAAGAACATGCTTTGTAAAGTAGTATGTACTATAAGAAATGTTATTTTGCAGTGTCCATCTCTTCAGTCAATCTAAGGATCCCTAATCACCCCCATGTATTTTACAAGTAAAATCTTACTTTTTAAAGTAAATATATCATGCATATTTACCATATGCAGCTGAAATGTCAAGTTATGTTATGCAAGTGGGAAGAGAATATTGGTAAAGAAACCCATTACTCAACGAGGGACTTTTGTACTCTCGATGTGCTTGATTTAAAACCACTTAAAATGTTGTTCCTTTTGTAATATTGGAGCTCTTGTTGAATAAACTAACCATTTAAAGTAATTCTTTAACAAGAAATTAAAACTTTCATATGGCAATTACAGGGGTTAGAAGACTGTGAAACTGAGTAAAATGGATTGAGAAATTTGGGAGAAGCAATAGTTTGAAAACTCAGAATCTGGAGGGGATCTGAGTGCAGAAGTTTATTTTGAGGTAAGTAACTGAAAATAATCTAAATGATAGGCTTGTTATTTTTGTTTTTTACTGGTGACTTCCTAAAATTATAAATTACTTCTTCCTCATCTGTAAAACAAATAAAACACTTATTTGTGTATCTTACTTTTAGGTTCAGACAAATCCACAGTAATTAACACTTAATTTTCATTCTTACATTTGGGATTTCTTTAGAGAATTGCATTCTTTCAGCTGAAGTAAAATCAGAATCTCTTAGAAAAAAAAATCCTCCTTTAGGAAAGGCACATTTACTAAAAGTTTGGAAAAAGTTGGCGAGTGTGCATATGTAATGGGAACATATGGGCCTTGTGACTTGGCCGAGACAAAGACCTCAGGTAGCTATATTCTGGATATAAATGAGATTCTAATTTCAAACATTTTTCAAATGCAGATCAGGCTCCCATGAATCATTTTGATGATTTTTTGAGGCATTAATGCAACAGAGTGAATATTCCTCAAATGATCCCCAAAGTCACCCCTTTGCTAAGGTATTTCTCTTCTTGATTATTTTGAACCTGCCAACATAGTCTCTAACCTTCATACAGAGAATGACTGATCTCCAAATGACCTATTATTATCTTAAACCAAGCTCATTTTGAAGCAAAAAAGAAAGAAAAATTAAGCAGTGCATTAACATTTCATATCAGTGAAACAGACATTTTTTGTGCATGAAGTAGTTCTATCCATCCGTGGAAAGGTCCACCTTTTGTTTTTCCCTGTGTTTATAGGTTACATTTTTAAAGGTGCTGGTGGAGCCTCTGTACAGTGGATTGGTTCCCTAAAAAATAAAAAAGGAGGTTCAAATGAAAGTACATTTTGTTATTACACTGTTTTAACATATCTAAATAATTTCATTGTACATTACCAATTGGGAAAAGAGAGTCAGTTTCAATCCTGAAAGCCATTTGAATAATTTTGATGTTATACTTTTAGTGTTTTAAAAGTAATGCATCTTCATTTTATTTTCTAAGATGCAGAACTAGCCCCTTGTGTGTATTCTAAAAATCTTACCCTTTTTGGAAATGCACTAATTTATTGATGGAAAACAAGACTTTAGCTGTTTTATTCACTGCTATTTTATTATCACTAAAAACAGTGCCCATGTCAGAGTAAGCATTCGGTTATTTATTGAATGAATAGAATGAACCAATAGATGATTCACAGTGAAATGTAAAGTAAAAAATGAAAAAAGTGAGCATACAAAGATGAATGACACAGTAGTACCTGCTTTTATGAAATGTGTTTCTGGGTAGGCTGGTGTGGCTCAATGGTTGAGCATCAACCTATGAACTAGGAGGTCACGGTTTGATTCCCTGTCAGGCCATATGCCCTGGTTGTGGGCTTGATCCCCAGTGTGGGGCATGCAGGAGGTAACCGATCAATGATTCTCTCTCATCATTGATGTGTCTATCTCTCGCTCCCTCTCCCTTCCTCTCTGAAGTCAATAAAAATAGATATATTAAAAAAAAAAAGGAAATGTGTTTCTGGTGAAAGGCATCAAACAAAGGCACAAATAATCTTGCTAAAATGAGATCAAAATTCGGAAAAAGGAGCGACTAGCTGCTTGGGAGAAGCAGAGAAAGATTCCCAGGACAGTGACTGCCTGCTCAGGATCGAGAAAGAACCAGGTGGCTTTTGTAAACTAGTGTTTGAATCAGGGTCACAAGTCGGGTGTTTGCGACACTGGACTCGTGAAGGAGCACAGGTCCCAAGGCAGGTTGGGCAAGATGCTTATGCCCTTGGGGCAGTGAGAGGTGGGGTACTGATGCCTGGATAATTCAGCTGTGCTGTTTGGGCTGTTGGTGTTTCCAGGGAATGTCACCAGGACCAGAAGGACCAACGCTCTCTAGGTGTTTAAAGAAATGCCAAGCTTGTTCCTTCTATTTCTCTTCTTTGGTTTAACTGCTCCTGGCAGGCACAGGATGTCTGGGTAAGGTACAGTCTATTTTCTCCTTCTTTCCAAGGTTGACCACACAGGCTCAGGTGTCAGACAGCCTGGGTTCAATCCAGCAGCACTATGTGACCTTACTTAAGCAACTCCAAGCCTTGGTGTCCTTATCTATAAGAGAGATTGCCGAAATGCTTGCCTTATCTACGAGGTAATGTACTTTAGCACAGTGCCTGGCACACAGTTCCCAATAAATGCTGCCTCTTACTACCTCTAACTTATAGCTCTTCTTTATATTTGGAACTTCCTTTCTTTTTATGTCCTGGAGAGTGTAATAAAGATATCCCCCCCCCCCCAGGGTTTTGGTACACTGAACATTCCCAATCCTATTTCTGAGTATGCATGGAGTCCACATATCATCTCAGACCCTCCAAATTGATAAATCTTATACTTTGGTCTCCTTATTTCATGAACTGTAGAAATGGTAGCAATTTCCAGGCATAGATCTGAAAAAAACATGATTATATTGGCTTTCTAAGTACATTTCTCTCAGCTCTTAGAAGACCTCAATAAAATGAAAAATACTCCCTGGTCTCTCCCACCTGTTGCCCTTGGATTCACCTCAGTGTCTTCATTTTGAGGAGGAATAACACCTGCACCTGTTTCTCTGTTGCCCAGAGCCAGTGGCCTGACCGCAGACTGAGTAACATTTCACCTTTGCTCAGGCCTTTGGAGTGAGATGCTATCTCAGTAATGAGGGCAAACAGAAAAGAGGCTCCTTGGTTGTGGACGATGAGTGAAGGCTAAGTCAGCATATTGTCTCTGCTCCTGAGGTCAGCCCGGATAAATCTGAGGGCCCTCCAGTTCTTACTTAGTCCTGCTTCCATAAGAACTTGAAATTTGGACTGTGAAGAGCATGCTAACGTGTTCTTAGACGCAGGTAGAATATTATTGCAAACAAAAATACGTGGAATTCTATTAAGTTTAAGAGACTATATGCTATTCAGTTTAAGTTGGTTACAGAAGAATAAGAAACGAATTGAAGAGGAAAGATGGGCAGGGTGAGGATAATGAGTAGGGGCACCGGCCTGGAGGAAGAGGGTGGCTTAGGGAGAAGACAAGGTACTCTGAAATTCAGAGTAAATGGCTGTGAGAAGGGCCAGCTTGGATCAGCGAAAGGCGAGGAACTCTCTTGGGGGCCCCATCCCATATCATGTCAAACAAATTGAAATTCACCCCATCTCACTCTAAATGTCGTTTGTTGAGATTGACTGATTGACTACACATGTTATTTTGTAGACACTTAGTTGAATGTGTAATTTTGATTGTGTGGTTTTCATTCTATATTTTTAAAGCAACTTCATTTATTCAGGCCTACAATATTTTGGGAGTCTCTTGCAAAGCTAGTTATAGGGCCTGGGCACGCTAATAGGTGATGGTGGATAAAGCAGACCCCACTGTAGTAGGAGGGTAAGGTGGAAATTTAAAAGTGGAGAAAGAGCAAGTATTTATCGGGGAGGGGGGAGTGTTTCCTGCCCTCAACTGATGCTTGGAGCTCAGCAGAATGAGCTCAGCTCGGGTTTTGCTGACAGCAGGAAGTGTGCCAATGTCTGACATTGCCTCTTCTAGTGCCACGCAGGTGGCAACTTCCCACAAAAGAGTTTCAGCTGAGACACAGGCTTGTGTCTGGTTCCATTTCAGGTGAGTCTGCACTCCTTCCCTTAGACAAGGTTGTGTTTCCCCCAACCATCTGGGGTGACTAGGCTAATTCCCCCAGGCATCAGGGGGTAGTAATTTAGGCTGTAGATTCTGCAAATGCAACTGCACATTTTTAGAGCTTGAAAAAGTGGTAATAAGAAAGCTCTCTGTCATAACCCACAGCTCTCTTAATGATTGCCTAACTGCCAAATGCAGACCTGATTTGTTTAGTACAGTACGAAATCAATCCATGACTGCTAGAAATGTCATACTGAACATTCTTTGCCTCTAGTTAATGACTTGTCATCCTAGGGAAAAAATGTCTAATCAAAGATGAATTTAAATATCTCCCCTTTCTGTTTTCATAAAGAATGTGGATGTGGGTGTTATTTTTAAAAGTAGTAAAAGGTAACCTTTCTTTATGGCTATGATGACATGTTCCAGGAGGCAAGAATGAAACTCTTTTTTATTCTCAGCTCTGTCACCTTTGGAGTCAGGAGAACCAACTACCTCTGTGGTGTATGGAGGTCCCCTGGGTTTTGAAGACCAGTCAAATTCAGTTCTTCAAGAAGAAATATATTTCCAATAAAAACAAAATAAAATTGAAGATCACAAAATAGATACACTGAGCAACATTTTCCCCCCAATAGGATATATTAGTGAAATTTGAGTTGAATTATTTGAGTTAAACCTCTTTTGCATCCAAGTGAATAATTATTATCCAGTCATTATCTAGTCAAGAACATCAAACATTTGTTATTCAAAGAAACTCAGTTTAACAAGGGAATAACATTTTTCATTCATGCTTTAATCTGTATAATGCATATTTTTGTTCCATATTAGACATAGAAATGGCAAAATTTTAGCATTTAAATTTCAGTCATGTTCTACATCCTAAGAGAAAACAATTCATGTTTTGAGGAAATTAACTATTAATTAAAATGTTATTTTAAAGATATTAATCACTTGTCAGTAATCATGCTTTTGTATGAGAACATTAAAATGTGCTGCTTGGTAGATAGACATCACATAATTGCCCAAGTGCTTATTCGTGGAACACCTGCCTATTATTTCCCGAGTGTCAAGGCTGTGCTTGGAAGAAGAGGCTGCAGTTGGATCAACACTTGGAGAAATCTCTTAACATCTCAGAGCCTCAGTTTCCTTACCTTCAAATTGGGAATATGAAGATGATTTCATGGGGCTGGTGGTTATTCAACTAACTGCAGCTGTTGTTGTGTTGTTGTTATTTTTATGCCAACTTAATGACATTCTTTTGCCTGGTTGCCCTTCTAACGATTGTCAGGAATTTGCTTGATAGTTTGTAAGAATTAAAACAGCGATGGCCAGGGGATCAGGTTATGTCAACTGCCCCAACACTTTTGGCCTCAAGCTCTAAGTCATCAAACTAACTTTTAGGTTACATTTGACTTTGTTATGGATGGATAAACTATATACTCAATGCAAACCCACAATTTACTTTCCCAAAGGGTTTTTTTAAATTATGAAAAATCCATACATATACAAAAGAAGATAAAAGCTGTTTAATGAACCTCTGTAGACCTATTGCCCAGCTTCAACAATTATCAAGATTTTGCCACACTTGCTTCAACTCTCTCTTTCTCTCTTCCTCTCTATCTCTCTCTCTTTTGGCTGAATGATTTCAGGACAAACCAGCCTTCATTTTCCTTTATCCCAAAATCTTGATTATTTTTTTTAGCAAAGTCATCATGCCATTATCATACCTAATTAAATTAATCACAATTTGTTGCTATCATTTTAATACCCAGTCTACATTAACCTTTATCCAGTTGTCAAAAAAATGTATTTTTTTTTACTATTCAAATTAGGATCAAAATAAGATCCATACATTTCATTTGATTATTGTGTATAAAGGCATTTTTAATGGGACAATAAAGTATATAAAATGTTCTATTGGTCCTTTGTCCTGCACCATATAATATGATTATTTTAAAATAACTACATAATATATAAACATCCCTTATCAAGATAAATGTATCCAAAACAGAAGATTCCATTTGCTCTAGGAATTGAAGATATCACTAAAAAGTTAGAGAAAAAAGTGTTTGTAACACCAATTTATCTGGGCAGATGAACCCTGAGTAGCATTGTGTTGGCTTGTATTTTCTCCTGTGATATTACTGTTTTTAGAATCAGCAATGTAAGATAATTGCTATTAGATAGCTGGACGCACCATTAGAGATAGAGAGATGAAATTAAAACCATGAAATTGTTTCTATGGGCCTCTAGAAATGTAACTGTCTCTCCTGTGGGAAAGAAACACACAAAATTGGAGTCCTGTTTTGTGTTTGCTTACTGTAAAGAGGAGACACGTAAATTATATCTATTGAGTATGTATATTTAAAGGTTGACACTTTGGGGATTGTTTTTCTCAGGTAGCTGTTCGAAATTTATGATATTCAGAAAAACTGGATGGAATTTAAAAACTCTTCTCAACTTTGCTTTGTAACCTATTTCGAGTAATGTGCATTTCCATGGTAATTGGCATGAACTGTCTAGTACTCATGAACCTTATTCCATTAGTTATAACATAAACGTTTATGGAAATGTGTACACACAGCACCTAAGCTTTATCAAATGGGGCCTGATGGGTCCTCCTGGTGGTGAGAAATAAAATATATGTCATTGGTGTCCCGAAGTAGCTAAATAAGGAGACTCTTCAGAGTGGGGAAATTCCCCCACTGTACTGAGAGACAAACGCATGCTATGAGGACCACCTGGGATCCAATTAGTGGACAGAGGTTCCTTTGTCTCCAAGGCAGAACAGAAATCAAAGCTGTTGAGGACATGGTGAGAGGAGCAAAGAAAGAGCATGGTATACTAACTCTCTTTTAGAGCAGAAGAAAGCTCACTTCCCATTTCTTCTATAAGACACTTTCTCCCCTAGACAAGGAGTAGCCCCTACATGTTTACATACCGTTTGCCACTTGGCCTTTGACCTTTCTGCTTCGAATTTGGCAACCTCTTTGCGATCATGAAATGACACAAGCAGCTTCCAAATGCACAGTAGGACAACCCCAATGAGAAGAATAGCCAGTGAAACCCCCAACATGATCATGGGAATGTTTGGTGGTTTTGGACAGTCTGTGGGAGCAAATAAAATTATATTAAGAAGATGGTACAATCAACATTTTGATAAACATTTGTCATTAAGTTTTCCAACCATATTTTTCTCTAGTAGAGGGGAAAATAGTAACACCCTTTGTTTTGCTGAAAAAATATTTTTAAATGAGTTACTTATTGAAGGATAGCCCTATTCCTTCAAAGTGGAACAGAAGATAAAGTAGCAGCTTGGCTATTCAAAGCAAATGGATATACACTAGAAAGGCTGACTCAGTTAGAATCCAAAAGAGTGAAAATTAATGCACATGGAATATTTAAAGGACCATAAATAAGATATAGTTTAATCACTAAACATAGTCTCTTCTGGGTATATGATAAAGTAGAAATGGGATGAGTGTGTGTGCATACACACACACATAATTACTTTTCTTTATTTTTTGAAACAAAGAGATTATATTAAAAATTATATGAAACCTGCCCCCTGAAAAGTTTCCTACTTACTGCTGCTGATTTCTTATTTAAAAATTTTTTAATAGACAGAAGAGAATCATGGCTTTCAGTTTTATTTTAACTCTAATGCCTGATGTCCTGAAAAGTTCTTGGACTGGGGTCAGGAGAGGTGGGTTCAATTCCTATCTGAACTGAAGTACAGTAGCCATCTAAACCCATCAAGTCCTTTGATCTCTCTGAGCCCCAGAACTCTCATCTGTAAAACAAAGGTGTGGGACTTCAGTGTCCCTTCCTTCCCTGAAATAAGGTTAAGCCAGGTGCTCATGCTGATTAAACCCACAGCTTCCTCAACCTCTCCCCTGAGATTCTGATTTAGTTGGTCTCGGATGCAGCCAAAGATTTTTTATTATTAAAAGTATCCTGAGTGATTGTTATCTTCAGGGAAGTTTGGAGAATTAGAAGTTTTGCGTAGTCCTTTTAACTTGAACATTCTATGAAGTGTTATTTTGACTATTGATGGTATTAATGTAATCTTGCAATTATACAGTACCTTCCCTTATTGACAGCAGAATGACTAATAATCTTTGCAATATGCCTGGGAGATGATACAGTCTTAATGAAACATAAATAAGCTCTCCCCTGGCTTTCATGGGGAGAAAAAATCCCATATAAAAATTATCATTAAATATCTGCCTCCCGCTGTAAGAAGTGAGGCAAATCCATGGCATCTGAAGAGGAAATGAATCATGCTTAGTTTATTTTAACTCTTAGTGCTTTTCGGTGTTTAATAAGGAGAGTTATACACCCAGACTACTCATGCTACTTTCAAGGTAAGAATCTCTAGCTGGTCTGAATTTAAGCGGGACTAATGACCCCCTGACAGTGTGATGCCTGGCCTCACACATCTTTGTTCATTGGCCAAAAAACCATGTAAGGAGATTATGCAGAAATAAGTAAAGAAGCTAATGAAATAGCAACTAAAGTGTGAAGATCTAAAGACTGTTTCTAGCATAGCAAATGAACCATGCTGCTTCTAATAGCTTAGCAACACTCCGGCAAAGAAAGCAGCAGGTGCCTGTCAATGAGAATATATATTGGCTACATCTTTGACTATAAAATGTCTGGGGTGGGGCATAGCATATTCTTGCTTAAAGCAAAATGAACCTTACTAAGACCCTGCAGCCAGAATGTGATTTAGGAGGGCTCTCCACTAAGGAATAAAAAGAGGAGGAATAAGCATGACCTAGCAGAGATGATTATTTTAAGAATTTAGAATCATTGGGACTTATTCATTTCTTGAGATAAGATCTTGGCCCAAGTACCAAAGCAAGTATTACACAATAGAAAATCCAGGTCAGTGTAGCACCTAATTCTAAGGACCTGAGTTTCTAATGCTGCCAGTCTGGTAGGTCCGCCACATATGGCTACTGAACACTAGAAAAGTGACTTTCCAAATTAGGTTGTGTGATAAATGCAAAATGCACACTAATTTTGAAGACTTGGTATGAAAAAAATGTAAACAATCTCATTAAGTTTTTATATTACTACACTGTGAAATGACAATATTTTGGATATAGTGGATTAAATAAAACATTAAAATTCATTTAAACCTTTTTTACTTTTTAATATGGTTACTAGGAAATTTAAAATTATATATGTAGTTTGCATTAACATTTATATTGGACAGTGCTGATATATTTTGGGAATTCAAATATTTATTATGATCACACAGCCAGTGGGAGGCAGTATAGCACAATAGTTAAAAGCATGGGCTTCCAATTCCAGGACCAGCGCTGGTACATAATTGCTGCAAAACCTACCAATTACTTAAATTCTCTATGCCTCAATTTCATTACCTATAAAATGGAAATAATAACAATACCTGATTTATATAGCTGTTGAGGGTATTAAATGAATTAATACATGTAAAGCATCTAGAATAATACCTGGCATATGGTACTAGTAAGGGCTCAATGCTGAGAGTTGCTATTATTACTATAACAAATTCACTCTTCCACCTTTTCTATCCTCAAGACCTCGAGTGCCTGGAACCTCCAAGTTGGAAGCCATACCTACATCTCTGCCAGGAAGACTCCCCAACTGCCATTCTTGCCTGGCCCCTTATGATTGTGGCTCTTACCCTTAAAAGTTTTTCCAGATGTAAGAAAAAAAGATGAGCAAAGAGCTCTCCCTACATCCACATACCCCTGATGATGACCCTTCACTTGGTTTCTTTTTCAATTTGTTTGGAATTCTTAAGCTCCATCTCCTCTTTCCCCACTTTGCTTCTTTTCTATCCAGGCCTCCCACCAGCTGTCCAGAGCATCTCTGGTCTTACAGGGAGAGGGGACTACAGACTCCTGGGGATGGGCTCTGCCCTCAGGGTCCTGAGAGCTCTGGCCTATCTAGCTTTCAGAGAAGGAGGGAGAGGGAGAGAGAAATAGAAACATCAATGATGAGAGAGAATCATTGATCAGCTCCCTCCAGCATGCCCCACACCAGGGATTGAGCCTGAAATCCAGGCATGTGCCCTGACTGGGAATCGAACCGTGACCTCCTGGTTCATAGGTCGACACAACCACTGAACCACGCTGGCCAGGCGAGGGACACATTCTTAACTGAAGACAGAAAAGGGGGGGCACCTGTGAGTATCTAAGAATGTGGCCAAGGCTGTTAAGGCAGAGTCGCTCAAAGGAGATCCTGAAGCCGCCTGTATCAGAGCTGCCTGGGCCACACGCAGGCCTGCAGGTTCAGGTGAGCATGATGCTCACTAAAGTTTAACAACTTCTCAACAAAAGCACCTTTCCCACTCTTCCATCTTCTCTATATCAACTTCTAACATGAACTTCTGTCTCCTCTTCACTGAAGATGCGCTTTTTATCTGAGGGCTTCCTGAGTCCCAACGGGGCTCCAGAAGCTGGTGTGAAAGCAAAGCCACAGAAGCAATGGACTCAGATCACTTCCTCACTTCCTGCTTTGTGTCTTCTTGGTTCGGCGTTATCATCGAATGACCCATGGCTCTAGGTTATGAATTGGTGCATGTTTTATATGCATCATTCCATTTAATCCCTGAGTAATTCCTTAAAAGAAAGTATTATTTTTCCTATTTTACAGATGGGGAAAGAGAGGCAAGTATCTTCCAAAATGTGAAGCAGCTAGTAAGCGGCGGAGCAGTATTTGAACCCAGGTTCACACGATTCAAAACTCAGTCTCATAGGCTGGTCTGCTCCTTCCCGTTAGTCTTTCCTAAAGGTACACTTTGTGCTGACATTGCATTCAACCTTTCTGGGAGAGGACGATTGGTACAAATACACTCATCCTGTCGTCTAGTCTTATTCAGAGATATTGGAACCTATCAAACCTTTTAGTCATTGGGAAAATAGAGGCATGTCATCAAAAATTTGGAAATGTCTTTCCTGGCAAGCTACGCAAAGTGTCTTCCTGGTTGTTTTTTCCTCTCCCATGGAGTATCACTTACCACTGACAAGGAAAGGCACGCCACTCACCTTTCTCGTTGATGCTGTGAATGATGGTTTTCCCTTCGCTGTCTGTAGTTATTAGGAATGTAATAAGACATTCATTTTCTCCTTGTAGAGAACAGGAAACAGAACTATCCTTTGAGAAATCTGCAGATAAAGGAATCATTCATTAGGTTAAATGAGTTTCCAAAAGAGATTATTTTGAAAGCAAAGTAGTATTGAGTTTTAATATGCAAATAGGAAATTTCAACATTGCAGGATAATAGAAAAGACATAAGATTTTTCCCACCGGCTGAGGTTTTAGTTTCTACTCACGTTCCAGAAGAACAGTTCCAGGTGTGGTCAATCAGGACTGACCATCAAATGCACCTATCAAACTGATGGGGGCAGGATTTCAATAGAGCAGTGATTCTCAGCCTTGGCTGCACATTAGAATCACCTGGGAATCTTTTTAAAATCCTGATTTCTGGGCCTCATCCTCCGGAAATTCTGTTTCTTTGTTATGGGGTGGGGCCACAACATTAGTAACAAAGAAACAGAATTTCCAGAGGATGAGGCCCAGAAATCAGGATTTTAAAAAGATTCCCAGGTGATTCTAATGTGCAGCCAAGGTTGAGAACCACTGCAATAGAGTAAAAGTACTTCAAGGCAGGTATGCCTAGCTGTCTTGGGAATAGAATGGCCCTGATTATGGTAATGAGGGGGCTATATGTTCTCCTTGGCTGCGAGCATCTGGGAGGAAGCCTAGATTACATTTCAGAAAGAGACTGCACAGTCCAAACTGATACTGATACTTCTAAGAGGGTGGGGGAGGGGCTTCCTCACAATGCCCTAGTCAAGATTGCTGGCCAGTCCGCGTCACAACAATAAATATATATTAATATCAGGAAACAGAGACTGAAGTGTTATGTAGCTCAGGGACCAGCAAGATAAAGGTAAAGCTCAGATAAAAAGAACCAAGGATAATAGTTTGACTGACCCTTCAGCATAGCCCCTTTCTTAATTTAAAAAAAAAAATCAATTTTTCCTTAAATCTTTTCCAAATAGAAATTATTTTCTTGCTGAGCTTATTCAAGAAGCAGAAAATGAATGTCATATCAGAAATTGGAAATACAGTAAAATGGTCAATCTGAGATGTTAATACTATTTATCAGAGATTCTAGTCCTGCATCCATGCCAAAATTATGTAGCATTTTCCCAACTAAAACACCACTTGCTTCAAGTTGTCCTATCTTACAAGTTGGAGACTTTTTACTGATATAGTTACAAACACTTTTACAGAAACCTGTAAATAGAATGATTGTTATTAACCTAAAATTTAAAAACAAATCCAGTCTTAGTGTACTAAGACTCAGTGGGTCAGAATATTAAAATGGGACTGTCCCAGATAATCTTGGACGTACTCTTGCTAGACTTATAACTTTTCTCAGTGGCTTAAATATAAAAGAAGGTTTTAATGAAACAGAATCTATATGTCTTGCTCTGACTCTAACAAAAAAAAATGTAATAGGATTTTTTTGTTGTTGTTCAGCATTGCCATACTCATAGAAAGACAGAAATATATAAGCTGTTTTGCATTCAATCTCTAAGATAAAAATCTCACATTAGGGTCTGTGAGAAGTATGCCTGTATTACCTATTAAAACAGAGACTAGTAAAACTTTTAGCATTATTACTAAGATTTCAATGATAGGTTTAGGTGTTTTTGAATCCATTAGAAGCATCTATGCACACAGAAATATTAAGAAATCTAATTACAAATCATTCAAATTTGGTCATTCCTAAATGTTTGTGATTGTCTAAATCACCTGTGAGTTCTGGAAATATGGATTTCAGGGCCCCGCCCCTGGGCATTCTGATTTGGGAGGTCATTGGTATACACAGGCATTTGTATTTGAGTGAGTTGCTTAATAGTATTTTTAATAAGGTGGTTCTAACTAAGAGGTTTGGGAACCTCTGGGCAACACTTGATATTGAAATTTGTGTTATTTCCTATGTTTGATACCAACAGAACTGTCTGTATATCATTCATATTTTGGTTATTTTTCGATGGCCTTCAACACACATCCTTCTGCCACACCATTCGGTGAACTAGGATTCATCCAGCCTTGGGGAGTATGCCATTTCCTGTCGGACTGTTTTTCTCCTTCCCTCCCTCTCTCCACCACCACAGCGCAAACCCACTCTGTTCCTCTTGAGTTTACTTAATGGAACATTTTATTCTCAGGTAGAAAATATGTGGATAACTTACAATACTCCTTTCAGTAATATTAATCCTGCTTTTTTATTTTCTTTTAAATAGCTACATCGAAGCACAGGGAGGCTTAATTTACTTGGCCAGGATTATTTAAGTTTTAATGGAACTGCTAATATGACCTTTGAGTCATGACTCCCTTCTTGCTTTAATTACTTCACCACTCCTTTTCATGACGGTTATGACTTTAGACTTGGCCCGCTTCACAGTGTTTGGGTATTAAAATGGTATTATTGAATGTGCAATGAAAGGGTCCAGCTTGGGCTGGAGATTTGCATAATTAGCTGCTAAGGTTTTCTTTTGTTGTTCATAAGAAATGGACCTTTCTTTTCCCCCCACCTTTATGAGTGTCAGCAGTGCTGTGCTAGAATAATACAAGGAAAATAAGATCTCAGGCAGTCCATGAAATCATACTTAGAAAAGGAAGAAATGTGAGAATGGGGTGAGGAGCCTGGGGTCTAGGGGGGGTCTAGGAAAAATGTGGAAAACTAAACCGCCGGCACCACTGAATCAAGATAACTGTGTGTTTAAGACCTCTGCTCCGAGACCACGTCAGTAGTTCTCAGAGAAAGCAGTTTCCCAAGCAGAAAAAAAGGCTTCTGTGGTCGCTGTGCGTACTTAAAATACAGTGTATTTAAATACAGCAACCTCCCTTTGCCTCTCCTGACAATTTGCAACGTACATTTAATGTCATGTGCATAGGAACTCTCAGGAGTTCTTTAAGGAAACAAAAGGTGTAGCTTCCCATTTCCAAAATGCATATGACCATGGGTGCGTAGTTTCCCATTTAACACGTTGGGAGTTAGTGTCCCATGGAACACGGTTTGAGCAACAAAGCTCTGAGTACATGAATGTTGGGGTAGATGAATAATGTCTCTTTCAGCAAAATGGGTCGAATGAAATTGAACTGAATGTCCTTGGAAATGCTCGCACAAGTCAGGACAGCACAGCTGGGGAATGATTTATTTGGATGATAAAGTTATACTTACGTTACCCTCCCTGTCCTAGTTGGGGAAGGAAGGGCTGATAAAGACCCCATGGAAGAACAAATATGTTGTGATAATTTCAAGGTGATATGATCAATAACATAACTGGGTGAGTAACTTGAAATAGGACTTATAACAGGCTCATTAGAGAAATGACTTTTTAATTCACAGGTTAACAAATACATATTTTTCTCAAATTCATTGAGATTAGTGCTTTTAAATGGTATTAGAAATGCAATTATTGTTTTTAATTTCTGAGTTAGAAATAGTTGCATTCCCCTCTTTTGAAGATAATGTAGTCAAGTACACAAAAAATAATAATGCAAATATTTTAAATGCCACTTGAGATGTAGTCTTCCCCTCAAATCTAAGCACGTATGAAAATGTACTTAGAAAACTGTGTATTTAAATATGGTAACTCCCCTGTTCACGATTTCCATGTTTCCAAGGCTCGCTCTCCTTTTCCCCTCAGCACATTAGATTTCTCCGGCTGCTCCTGCATAGGGTTCTAGTCATTTGCAAGGCATTTTCTGCAATTTTTAGTCATTTCTTGGAAATATCTGGTAAATATCCCAGATGGTTGGTGTGAAATGAAGCCAGGAGGATATGCTGAGATTTGTACTAGTTACTAATCCGGGCAGTCCACAAATGCCGCTTTCCTCAGTGCTTTCACAGCATCTCACCTCGGGATTGGCGTAAGGTATACACCATTTTGTCCAATTTACGGCTATTTGGCATATTTTTTTAGTTACCAGAAAAAACACAGACGAGGGGTTTTATGAGCACCAATCATGGCCCTCCATTTAGGGTTATTCAACGGTGCACAGTCAGAGATCTCAAGTTTGAAACAATGTAGGTAATTTTCAAAAAAAAATAAATAAATTTCACTAACTTATTCCTCCTTGGAAATGGATTAATTTTGGTATTTTAATTCCATCTATTCAAGACACATATCCTAGCATGTCATGAATTATTGTCTTGATTACGCCACTTCGCCCGGGATGCATCTTGTTGGCGTCTGCAGAGCGTGCAGAGCAGCCGTTCTAGCTGAGCAGCATGATAATGCAGAGTGTGTGGTGGGGGAAACACCAATCCCCCCAGACTGTCCTTTTGGGAGGAGTCAGTCATCTTCTTTGTCTTAATGTTCACAAATTATTTTTCCCAGCTAAAATGCAACCCATTTGAATATTTGAGATGTCAATTTGCCATGAGGAAAGATATAATTTTAAGTAATTATGTTTTAAAATGACAGGTGAAAACAAGAGCAGGGCTTGCTAAGCAGTTAAAGGTAACAGGCCCTTCTCATATTTTGAGAGTGAGACAACAGGGAATTAAAGATGATCATGTAGAGCCCATATTTGGAAATTGGGAGTAAGAGCATACAGAGGGGAGAGGAAGAAAATCAGTCCACTAATCAGAAACTGCCCAGTGTCTGAGGGCTCTATCAGGAAGCCCATCGTATACCTTGCTTTGTCCTATTTTGAAATACAGCAATTGGATAATAGGGGACAATTTCAGGCTTGGGGGTTAACATTTAGATATTTCTTCAATTTTCTTCCTTCTAATTCAAACAATATAGCATTCTGGAATTCTCTACAGTTGTATCTGTTAAGGCAGTGGTTCTCAACCTTCTGGCCCTTTAAATACAGTTCCTCATGTTGTGACCCAACCATAAAATTATTTTCATTGCTACTCCATAACTGTAATGTTGCTACTGTTATGAATCATAATGTAAATATCTGATATGCAGGATGGTCTTTGGCGACCCCTGTGAAAGGGTCATTCGACCGCCAAAGGGGTCGTGACCCACAGGTTGAGAACCGCTGTGTTAAGGAGAGGTGAACTTGCCCACAGTGACGTCAAATATAATAGCCGTGACTTTAAATGTCTTGTATCCCCAACCACCAGGTTTTTAGCCTTATGGAATACATTTCCCCTTAATAACTAATATGAGGCAATGAATGCCCTGGTACAAATGAAGTCCAGCTATTGGAAAGCCCACCACAGATTTGTGCCTCTCAAGAACTATGCAAAGAAAAGGAAAGCAATTTAAGACAAGCAGAACCTTCTTCTTCATTGATGGTCACACCAGCTAGTTTGCATTTGTCAACACACTCTTCTCCGGCCTGGTCATCTGCCGACAGGTGGCATTCAATGCAGCTCCTGGGAACATTAGTCAACAGTTTATCAGTTCATGTTGGCAGCTGGGATAGTGCTCAATGCTGTTACTGTGGTACATGCTAAAGGCGTGTCTCAGAGAGGACGGTGCCTCTGGTTACTTTCAGAAGGTAGTTGGGTGATGTCCAAGAGGAAACTGCTTTATGCTGAATTCCACTCAGTAATCAATGTTCCCTGAGCCAGCCCTGATCATAGCTACTATCCCATTATCTTTAATGATTGTTTAAGTTAGAAAAATAAAGTCAACAACCCCCCCCCCGCAATTATTTTGGTATTTGATTTCGCTATGTTTTCATTTTATATTTTTCCTGGGAAGGGTTTAGGCTGCTAAAATATAAGTAAAGAGTAGACAAAGGCTGAATTTCTTAACCAAAATGGTCTATATCCTAACAAGAAGTCATCTATGTCATGAGTGACTATTTTAAAGATTCACTTTTCTGTAACTCTTTTGAATGCATCCAAGCCTCGATAGGGGTATTTTCAAAAGGTAAGGATTGTAGACTGGATGCGCATTAATGCAGGCGTTTGAATAAAAGATGGATACTTATAGAAAAGTGTATTTCCCAAAGCATAGCCCAGGAATTAAGCCATTGTAATGATGTCTATATAGCAAAGTAAAACGTTGACCCTGAATTTATCTTGTGCTGAAAATCACTACAAACAGATTGTGTTTGGAGTAACCCAAAACGGCAAATGTTGTCTTACGGTGGGATTAACATCATGGTGCCTCTCTCTTCCTCTGGCCATGGACATGTACACTCTTCTAAGTGCTGGAAACATTCCCCACCCCCACCCATGCCTTGTCACATCTCAGCTGAAACCTCCTTCCTCAGACAAGTCTTCCATGACCCTGCCCAGGTAGTTCCCTTGTAGTAGAAGCCTCCGAGTTCCTCTGAAGGAAGGGCTTAAGAAGTAATCTATGTGGGAGCGGGGATAGAAGTCTTGTCTGAGCGTTTCCTTGCATTGCATGCATATTGCATTTATCTATGTTATATAGTTATTTGCAGTGGCTTTGCAGGGGGCTGCTGGAGATTGTGGAAGCCCTTAGAACCTCTACCCCTTTGGGCATCTCACTGATGGCCGCCCAAGCTAGTCTGGGGGCCCCATCTCCTGTCATACGTACCGTTCCTGCCATATAGCACCCTTTATAGCTCCTTTTGTAACTGTCAGCCCAGATATCATCATAACTATTTTTGCTCTTTTTAAATTTTATTTTTCAATTGTAGTTTACCTACAATAATATTTTCTGTTAGTTTCAGATATACAGAATAGTGGTTAGACAATCATATACTTTTACAAAGTATTTCCCCTGATATCTGTAGTACACTCATTATCATTACTTTTAAAAATATCTGTCTTTCCCTCTAGATTCTCAGCACCTGTAATGGTAGAAACTATAACAGGTTCTGTCATCACTGCATGCCCATTTGAATACAACCCATTTGATTCTGGCATGATTTCTGGCATAGAGGAGGTACTTAATACCTACTTAATAAATAAATAAATGCATGAGTGAATAAATGGAAGAATGGACTTATCTTAAAACTAACACAAATACCACAAAGATCACTCTGATTCCTCAAATTTAATCTACTTCACTATTAATTTCTTATCTTATAAATCAGATTTAAGATTGAATCATGTTTACAGAGAAGACAAAATAGAAAAATAATAGAAGAAACATCTTAAAAGGACATTTTTACCTTAAATTCTATTCAAATAAGTCTATGTCCCCATCCTTCTCTTGGCATATGTCCAGGCACAGTAACAGAGAAGTTCTAACACCTGAATGGTGAATACCACTGAGTGAATGTTGATTTTTTTACTTCATTTACATTAGAAGTGCAAATGCCATCATTTGGGGTACCAAAGTTAATGAAAATATGAGTTGTTTAAGCATGTTTGCTGCAAAATACATCATGCACAGCAATGTCATAACACAGCCAATTTGGAGACTTGTTTCACTTAACCTACAAATGTCCCACTTCCACTAAGAAGTTAGCTGTCAGCTCTCAGTTGGTTGGGCATGGTCTCGTGTACTGAAAGGTTGCCAGTTCAATTCCCAGTCAGGGCACATGCACAGGTTTCAGCTTGATCCCTGGTAATGGGTGTGCAGGAGGCAGCCATCAATGTTTCACTCTTACATCTATGTTTATCTCTCGCTCCCTCTCTCCCTAAAAAACAAAACAAAACAAAACAAAAAACCTAGCTGTCAACCAAAGAAAGTTTCTTTACTGGAAAATAAGAAAATGTGTTTTGGTTTTTTGTTGTTGTTGTTCATATGGTATAAAAGATAACACAATACCCAATAGTCATGCAGAATGATAACCAAAGGAAGGAGCCAAAGAGCATGAGTGGTAAAGAAGGAAGAAAATTGAAAGCCAAGATTGTGTTTCTGCCTCTTTGCTTTCATGGGTCTATAGATAGGAATGAATCAGTAAGGTCAGGCTCTGAACTTCTAGATAAGAAAGAAGTTTATCTGTTTCCCCTGAAAAAATACTGAATGTGGGTGTCGTCAGTCTACCCCCAGGGCATTTCTTATGTGTGGCTGGCTTTGTAACTGAGAGGTGATCTGATATTATCAGTGTGGGACATCAGCTCAGCTTCCCCTGCTGCTTTCTAGCAGAAATGTGACCTTGTGGTCCTGGGTAATCAGGACCTAGAAAGAGGCCAGCGAAGGACTGGCGTTCCAGGCTGAGGATCACAGGGGCCTGGCAGGCTTGTGTGATACTTGCGGGTGCATACTTGATGGAGACCAAATCCAACAAAACAATCTGAGGTCTGAGTTTATAAAATGTCACTATGACTTTGATCATCAGGAAATATACGGACAAAGGGGACTGAAGAAGGTAGAGACATTACCGTTTAGAGTTGCAGGGATCGCCACAGGTAGGACAGCGTTCACAGGCCGGTCCTGAGGCTCCGGGGTGCGTGCAAACACACTTGCCACAGACGCAGTCGCCTCGCCCGCTGCAGGGCACCCCGTCTTCAGAGATGCATGAGTCTGTACTGGTCGTGCAGTTACAGTATTCGCCGGTCCAGCCACTCCTGCACACGCACTCGCCACAGTCACAGTCGCCGTTATCTGTAAAGCAAAACGCTGTTTTTTAGGGTCAAAACCACTTTCTGATTTGGGGCACCATCTTTTCTGTTTACCTTTAAACACCGTCAAAATGATGAGGGGGGAAAATGAGAAAAAAGTGAGTGTGTCAAGGGGGAGGGAAGAGAGTGAGTATAAATATATTTTATGAAATATATTTTGCTAACTGTATTTATTTATTGATCTGGTCTCTCAACTGAAGACCAGCTTGCTTACCTGATGTTATGCCAAAGAGAGTTCATAGCCAGGTGAAAGGAGATAATTGCTTTTACAATATCTTCCTTTAAATTTGGGTGCCATAAGATAAAGATACAAGACAGACCTGGATAATACCCCATCTTTACAACCCTCAATCTCGATGATCATGAAAACCTCATCTGTAAAATAGAAAGAATAAGATCTACTTCTAATGGTTGTGCTCTGTGAGACAATGTGTCAATCTCCTGGCTCTGCATTCACTCATTGGATGTCCTACGGACATATAGTGAGTGCTCAACAAATTCATTTATTTAACAAACTTTAATTGAGCATATATCATGTGCCCAATATTGTATAAGGAACGAAGATACAAAATTATATAAGACAAGGCCACTGAACTTATAGTCTCAGTGGTCGGCAAACTCATTAGTCAACAGAGCCAAATATCAACAGTACAATGATTGAAATTTCTTTTGAGAGCCAAATTTTTTAAACTTAAACTATATAGGTAGGTACATTGTTATTAACTTAATTAGGGTACTCCTAAGCTGGCCTTTGCTAAAAACGTCCTCAATCTGATTGAGATACGTTCGCTGAGGTCGACCCCTTCCAACTCTCCCATCCACACTCGTCTTGTATACTTGTTTCGTCTATCTCCTTTTGTTCATCCTCTCTATATGTCCAAACCATCTCAACATACCTTTCTCAATCCTCGACACTACATCTTCTTTCACTCCACAACATTCCCTAAAATTAACTTAATAAACTTTAAAGTTTTAAGTCAACTTTGCACTGTACGTGCGTGCCTGCACGTGGTATTTTGTGGAAGAGCCACACTCAAGGGGCCAAAGAGCTGCACGTGGCTCGCGAGCCGTGGTTTGCCGACCACGGGTCTAGTGTTAGGAGACAGGTAAATAAATATGACTACTAATAAATACAATACAATATGATCATTGTTATACTCATGGGGAAGAGTTTCCAAATTAGACTAGAGATCTGGGAAGTTTTTAGAGGAAGTGATGTTTGAGCTGACTTTGAAAGATAAAGGTAGAAGGAAGATAGAAGACAATGACACATATTTTAAGCAGAGAAAACAGGTTAACACCAGAAGTGTGTAATCCTGTGACCTGCTTAATACCTAAGGTAGTTTCATATAGATAGAGCCCAAGGTGTGGCAGGAGGGGAGGGGGGAAAGGTCTGCAAAAAGTCAGAAATCACATCATGGAAAGCTTTATGGACTAAAGTAAGAACTTTTGTCCCAAAAGTTATGGAATTTTAAGTAGGGGAGAGACCTGAACAGATAGATATGTGTCTAGAAATGTCCTGGCATCAGTAGAGAGAGTCAAACTAGAGAGGGGAAAACCAGTTGGGAAGATATGAGACCCTGCATCTTTGGGAATGGAGAGGAAAGGGGGGCAACCAGGGAATTGTTTAGGGTGTGGGTGCGATCAGTGCTGGGTGGAAGAGGAGGGGAAGAGAGAGGGATAGAATCCTCCCCAGGTGACCAGACAGGGCAGCTAGCTGGATGGTGGGGCTTTTCACTGACCTGGAATGGAAACTAGCTCATGCTCTGTCTTATCCCTAATGCCTGGCATAGAGTAATGCTTCATTATTGAATGAACAGTTTGCTTGGAAGCTGGGGAGGAGAAGTTTTGAGTGGGGTCAAAATGAGTTCATTTTTCATTCTGTTGAGTATGAGCAACCTGTGTGACATCCTAGTAGGCAGCTGAATACAGTTGACCCTTGAACAAAATGGGGGTTAGGGGTAGTGCTGACCCCCACCACATACACACAGTCAAAATCTGCTTATAACTTTTGACCCCCCCCAAAAAACTTAACAACTAATAGCCTACTGTTGACTAGACAGAAACCTTACTGATAGCATAAGCTGTCAATCAACAATTGCTGTGTATGTTATATGTATGATATAGTGTATTCATACATAAAGAGAAAATAAAATGTTATTAAGAAAATCATAAAGAAGAGAAATTACATTTACAGTATTTATGGACCTATGCGTGTTGTTTAAGAGTCAACTGTATGTATGTATGTATATGGACTTAAAGTGTGCGATTTGGGATCCATTAAAGCTAGATGGCAGTTAAAGTTGTTGTGAATCAGGGAGAGGGGATGCAGATGGAGTGAGACAATCCCTGGAGAGCATCAGAATTTAAAATGCAATCAGAGAAAAGGATGCTTTCAGAGGTAAGAGGGGAATGAGAGGATGTTGCAGAAGCGCAGGACAGAGACAGATTGAAGAATGAGGCTGGAGACTTGCTACAGGCAAGCAGCTCATCCAGTCCTGAAAAGCTCCTTTTGGATCTGGCCACATAATACCATATGAAATACTATGAAGTGACAAATAAAGTATTTATTATAATGGGCTTGTGTGTTTTTTGGTGCCTTCCATGCTGACCTGGCGTTAAGTGTAAGAGATATGAAGTAGGAAATCATAGAACAAAGGAGACAGCCACAAAAATTTGGAAGTTGGATTCTGATATATGCATAAACATATATACACACAAAAAAGACATATATGTCTCCAATGAAAGATAAGAGTTGAAATATATATAATATATTAGCATATTTATAGATCTATATACACACTAAAATACGTATCTTTCTCTAGTGAAAGATTAAGAGATGAAATTTAGCTGGATCCATGACATTAAGACATACTCCAACTGCATTTCATAACCTATTTAATTCATAATTGAACTAATTAATTCAAAGCTAAGAATAGTTAGGTGATTTAGGCCAAACCATTAGTTTAACTTTTATATGTAAGTTATCCTCTAAACTGCAATTGCTTTTTGTATCTTCCTCAGCAAAAGAAGAAATTTACTTTCATGATAGGGAAAGATTTCTATAGTGAAGTTTATCCTGAAAAATTAATATGATTTATAAATGCTGTCAAGTGAAATGTGCATCTCCAAAGGCTTTGGAATGCCCAAGTGTATCATCACATGTAAGAATCGGCTGGCAGAGATTTAGAAAGCCTTTCAAGAGCTCTGTTCAGAGTTAAGAAACCCTCCTTTCTGGGGGCCTTCCAGAACCATTCCCTACTCACAAAAGTTGCTAATTGATATTCACTACAACTAATTATCTTAAATACCTGTTCATACCATGACCACAACAAAAACTTTATAATGGCTTCATGTAGAAGAAAGATGATAACCAAAAATCAAGAAAAATTTATCAGGCTCTTTTTGGAGGAATGGATCTTTCTGGAATGCTGTTGGCTGATACCTATAAGTGCATAATGGCAGGAAGTTGTTGTTTTTTGTTTTTTTTTACTATAATATCATTAGAGTTTCCAATCTCCTAGAATCAAAATACAAGACTAGTGGAATTTGGGCAAGAAAAAAAAATCAGTGGCGTTCTGTATCTGTGAGTGCTTACAGATGGATGAGAAAAGGGGCTTGAAAAAGAACATTGTGACAGTAGCCTTCAGAGAAGCAGCCCATTGCAGAGTATAGCAGCTGTAAAATAAGGGAGGTCTACACAAGTGAAGCTATAGCATATTCAGGGCTCTGTTACAAACAACAGAGCATCCATTCACAAGGCCAGGCACTTAGTAGGTACTCCATAATTATTTGTTGAATTTGAATAATTGTACTTAATATTAGTATCCTTTTTTATAAAGGAAATTACTAATAATAGAGCAATAAACATCCTTTATGATGTGACTAAAAAACAAAATAGTTTTTGAGAAACAGTAATGGTTGAGAATCGTAAAGTACCCCAAAGTATGAAGGCAATTGGCATTGGTGAAGTTCTGTGAGTCCAACTGAAGAAATAATTGTATTTTCTAAATAGAATTTCTTTAGCAATCACTGTATCTGATACAGAGGGAGGTACTGTTGTCAGACCTTGTGAACTATAATGCATAGATCAAGTCAAATTTTTTTAGTTTTTTTTGTTTGCATGCATGATACAAAACAAAATGAAAACCCATCAAGACACTGGAAGAAATGTGTTGCTGAACACAGAACAGCAATTATTACTGTCCTAGATCTCTTCGATCTAAGATTTAAGGTGAAATATAGGTGGGGTTAGCATTGCTATTACATTGTATTAGCTTACACTTAATGATTTTTGAAAGGTAATTTCAAATGTTTTGAGCACATATTTTATCAAAAGATGTCTAGTAGGAATGCAATCTGGGGTTCTGCTGAAAATACTTCTTCCAAGACGTGGTGATGGTCTTTGGCTTTAGACTGTGTCCTGTATGCATCTTGTGAAAAGAAACCAACTGTTGTGGGTTTGGAACCACATCCATTAAGTAAGGAAATACACCTTTCAATGAAAAGAAAGAGAAATGTGTCCCAATCTAGACAGACCCTACATTTTTCACTCTCTAAGGGGAAGAAAGAAGGCAGCCGCAGAGGCATCTATTGCTAGTAACAGCAGCAGCAAAGAAAGGAAACATAGGTACACTTCTAAGGGTATCACATGGTTTTCAAAGAACTTAGGCTTCTTTGAGGCTTCTTTTCTTAGGGCTTTTCCCCTGAAAATCAGTCTCTTTTATATGTTCCTGACCCTGTGGTTTTGAAAACATAACTTGCTTAGTTTTCTCTGAAGATAATGGCTTTCTGTTTTGAAAAGCTGCTTGCTCAGACAATGTGAAAAAGGAAGCCATGAGAGCTTCAATTCAGCAGTTACTATTTCAACTGTAACACAAATTTATATAATTTTAAAGTATATAAACACATTTGTCATTCTTGTCTTAATAGATTATACTTAAATATATGTATATACATCAGGATGATTATGTAGTAGTCATGTTATATATGGTATAATATATTCTTAAAGTGATTTTGCATCTACAAAGGATATGAAACAAGTATTTCTGCTATTTTAAAATTTTCTCAATTTCAAAAAATTCTGTAATTTTCATTTTTACCCTATCATAACCTTATTGTACTTATTCATTTTTATTATACCCCATTCCTAATTTTGTATCTACCACATAATAGATGTTCAATAAATATTTGTGAAAGTGAATGAAGGCCCTGAAAGTCCATTTAGTTTTTGTGTGTCCTTTGTCCTTGGCATTTTCTCCTTAAGCAGCCTTGCTTTTAATTTTTCCAAAGTAATATTTAAGAGTTGGGTCAGATACCCAGCAGTCTGATCCAGAAAAGTCTGGATGATAATGGAGTTCAAATCACATGTAGTTTTGTGGAATCTGTGTAATAACCAAAGAGAAGGCATTTCCATCTTTTACCTACTTACTCTTAGGGAAATAATAATAGACATGCAAATTGAGTTGGCAGAGATCTCACTCCAAATGAATGTAAGAGCCAGAAAAAAAAATCATTACCTTGCGTCTAAAGATGAACCCATTCAGTTGATTAGCAAATATCTATTGAGCACCTACTATGCCCAGGCAACTGTGGAAGGTTCAAAGGAGGAAGAGCCCCTCCTTAATACTTGCTCAGCCGCAGAGTAAGGTGGATTTAGACATGGCCTACCTCCACACAGCAGCCCTTTGTGTCTCACGCAGGAGAAATTGTCACACTGGCAGTAAGGCCCATAAATGTTTCCATAGGGAGACAAGTGGCAGATGCACTGCCCACAGTAGCAATCGCCTCTTCCACTGCACGAGGGGTGATCCGGGGCCTCCTTGCAGGAATCTGTGCTCATCTCGTCCTCCCCGCACTCGCAGTGAGGACCCACGTGGCCAGGGTTGCAGGCACACACCCCACACTGGAAGGAGCCGTTCCCGTGGTGGCATTTGGAGCTGTTCACTTCCACTGCTTTCTGGCAGTCACAGTTGCATTCTGGAGTGACAAGTATTTCTAGGGTGTCCCCCAGCCCCACAGGCTTTATGATAATGTGCCTGCTTTTTCTGTCGCAGTTTGGTATACTCACAGACACGTTGAATGAAGCCTGGAAAAGAAAATACTAATTATCTCCTTCTATCCACCAAAATGTATGGGGGGAAACAAAGCCACATGGGGATCATCTTTGCCAAAAAGAATTTATTAGGAAATCTTTGACAATTGCTTTGAAAATTCTTGAAAGGGGAAGTGCAGCTTCAGTGCATGAAGGTTAACTTCTGACTTGCCTGAATATTTTTTTCAGACCATCTATTGGTCATGTACCTACCGTGTCTCCCACCTTCATGTGGGAGCATTTCTTCTGCTGTGGGAAGAAGGACTTGTTACAGATAGCCGTGAATGACAGGTTGAGTCCTTCTGTGTCTCCTAATACTTCCAGTTCCACCTCAGACCGGAGTTCCTTTCATTAAGACATAAAGAGTTAGATGAAGTCACAACCAGAAAACAGAGCCAAAAAGAGAATCTGAGAATTGTATTTACTAAACTACAAATGAATAAAATTAAACTGTGTATAAAAGAAATTCACAGTATCATTAATCAAATGAGCAAGATACACACACAATCGTATTTTATCAAATCTAAGATGCTATTAATTATGAAACACATTATTTTATAACAAACTATGATAAAATACCTCAGAATCATTCTGCACAATATATGAATCAATGCCATCAGTCTATCATTGCTTTGAAAATTATTTTATACATTCTGAGGGATCTGGCAAATTCTCCAGCCCTGAGTTGCATTGTTTGACATATAAGAGGCAATTCTTTCACTTGTACTCAGCAACAAAATGTAACAACAGCTTCCTTTTCTTGTATCATCATTTTTCAGGTCCCATAAAGAAGTGGGTTGTTGCTTTGCAAAGAATACAGAATTGCAATCATTCCTCCAACAATGAATATTTGCTTCCTTAATATCAATTTTATACCCTGAAGCTCTGTTTTGGTACATTTCTGCATATATAATAACTTTTCATTTTAATATCAAACCATAGTGTATAATTTTAAAGATGTTTTTAAATGGCAATTTTTCTCAACATTTATAGTGCAAAGAGTGCACTTCACAAATTGAATAACAATATATACAGTTATGGCCAAGTGCACACATGTGCAGGAAATGAAAACAAAGGTGTGACTTCTGCCCAGCTGACAGCATTTGTAAGACACAATCCTATATAATAGAAGGGTAATACACAAATAGACTGAACGGAAGAACAACCGAACAACCAATCAAAGCGTAATATTCCTATATAATAAAGGGTAATATGCAAATAGACTGAACAGCAGAACAACCAAACAACCAATCAAAGCGTACTATGCTAATGATATGCTAAGGCTGCTCAACCACTCAGGGGACAGACAGTCAACTGCTCAACCAGTTGCTATGATGTGCACTGACCACCAGGGAGCAGATGCTTTGACCGGTAGGTTAGCTTGCTGCTGGGGTCCAGCTGACAGGGGCTGAGCAAGATGGGCTGGATACACCCTGGAGCCCTCCCATGGCCCCTCCCCGGCCTGATCGTGCACAGGTTGGGTCCCTCAGCCTGACCTGCACCCTCTCGCAATCTGGGACCCCTCGGGGGATGTCGGAGAGCTGGTTTCAGCCCGATTGTGCAGGCCACTCCCCTTGGGAGGGTGCCAGATGCAGGGCTCATGGCTGGTGAGCACTGCTGCGGCAGCGTGAGCCTCTCCTGGGACTGATTGGGCGCAAGCCCGCAGCAGACACAGTGGGGCCGGGATGAGTGGGAGTGGCAGGTAGGAGCTGCAGGCAGCATCGGACTGTAGATTTCTGCCCGATCCCTGCAGGCCACCCAGAGGGACCCCACCTGTACATGAATTCGTGCACCAGGCCTCTAGTTAATTATAAAATGCATCCCAATTTTAGAGATATTAAAATGTGGGAGAAACTGTCTTGAAAGCAATATTGGAATTTATCGAGTCCTATTTTACATTTAGTGTAGAGTCGGGGTGGGGGAATGAGTATAAGTACAGATTTCTGCCCTCAAGATGATTATCATCTTACTGAAAACAACAAGATGAAACCAAGTGAAGCAGGTAACATACAATGTCAGTCATTGTGCATTAACTTAAAAAAATAGTATAATACAAATGAGAGTTTGGGACAGTTCAGAAAAGAGGGTGATCAGTGAAGGCTGACGTATTAGAAGACTGATCTTTGACAATGGTATCTCAGGACAGGGGACAGAAAAGAGAAAGCTCAGTCCTGGCTGACTGGCTCAGTTGGTTGGAGCCTTGTCCCATACACCAAGAGATTGCAGGTTCGGGGTGAGGATGGGAGGCAACAGATTAGTGTTTCTCTCTCACATCAATGCTTCTCTCTCTGCCTCTCTCTCTCTCTCTCTCCTTTTTTAAAAAATTTCTTTATTGATTTCAGAGAGGAAGGAAGAGGGAGAGAGAGATAGAAACATCAATGATGAGAGAGAATCATTGATCAGCTGCCTCCTGCATGTCCCTTACTGGGAATCGAGCCTGCAACCAGGGGATGTGCCCTTGGCCAGAATTGAACCTGGGACCCTTCAGTCCACAGGCTGACGCTCTATCCACTGAGCCAAACTGGCCAGGGCATCTCTCTCCTTCTTAAAAAAAATCAATTAAAAATATATCCTCAGGTAAGAATTAAAAAATAAGGACAGCAAAGAAAAGAGAAAGCTCAAAGCCAGGAATGAGACACAATGAAGACAAAAGGGCTCAGGCCAAGTCAACACTCCAACTGTTCTGAGAGACACCAGACAACAAAGAGCCTTGCAGTTTGGAGAGAGGAGTTTAGACCCTTGGGAAGCATTTCTGGCAGCTGTTAAGCAAGGGCTCAATCTACAGAAAAGATAGCTGCAAGGGAATTGCCTGGAAGGCTTGTGCAGACCAGACCAGTGGAGGGGATTGGAACCCTTGAGTTTAGAAAGCTGGAATGTTGATGCCTTCATCCTGGCCTGAGGCACGAGGGTTAGGAACTGGGCTGGTTGGTATTGTGATGACATAGATTTAAGAGAGAAAGATTAGATATGAAGCATATAGGTTATACCAGAGGGGGAGATAAAGGCAAGGTTCTTCAGGAGGAAAAATGTCAAAAAAGGCAGAGGGAGACCTGTTGGTTTGGGGAAAGTTGGTGTTACTATTCAGACTTTATCTGTTCCTCTTTCTCTTACAAAATAAAAGTTTGTTGACATTGCTCTTAGTAATATTTTTTGGATATATCTCCTTGGGCAAGGGAAACAAAAGAAAAAATGAGCTAAATGCATCAAACTAAAAAGTGTTTGCACGGCAAAAGTAACCATCAACAAAACAAAAGACAGCCTTCCAAATGAAAGAAGAAATTTGCCAATGATACAACTGATAAAAGGTTAATATCCAAAGTATATAAAGAACTTATACAATTTAATACCACCCCCCCCCCAAAAAAATACCTCCAAACAATTCCATTAAAAAATGGGCAGAGGACCTGAATAGATACTTCTCTAAAGAGGACACACAGAGGGCCAATAGACATATAAAAAGATCCTCAACATCACTAATATTTATAGAAATGCAAATTAAAACACCTATGTGATATCCCCTCACACCTGTCAGAATGGTTATCACCAATAAGTCAACAAACAAGTGTTGTGGAAAAGGATGTGAAAAAAAGGGAACCCTTGTGCATTGTTGATAGGATTGCAAATTGGTACAGCCACTATGGAAATCAGTATAGAGGTTCCTCAAATAATTAAAAATAGAACTACCTATAACCCAGAAAGTCCACTTCTGAGTATTTATCTGAAGAAATTCAAAACACTAATTCATTGCAGCATTATTTACAATAGCCAAGATATGGAAGCACTAAGCGTCTGTCAATACATGAATGGATAAAGAAGTGGTGCATATATACAATGAACTATTACTTGAAAGAATGAAATCTTACCATTTGCAACTACATGGATGGACCTAGAGAGTATTATGCTCTCTGAAATAAGTCAGACAGAGAAAGACAAATACCATATGATTTCACTTACATGTGGAATCTAAAAGGACAAAATAAATGAACAAACAAAACAGAAGGAGACTCATAAATACAGAGAACTCACTGATGGTCCCAGATGGAAGGAGGGTGTGGGGTTTATGAAAAAGGTGAAGGGATCAAGAAGTACAAATTGGCAGTTACAAAATAATCATGGTAATGTAAAGTGCACCATTGGGAATATAATCAATAATATTGCAATAAGTATGGTGTCAGGTGGGTAGTAGACTTATCGGGGGAATCACTCATCTATATATATAAAAGCCCAGCGACTGGAACAGTGGAATGACCAGAACAACCGGAACAAACAGTGGTTATGACACACACTGCAGCAGCCAACCAGCCAGATCTGGGCCCCAATCGGGCCCCCCTCCCCCAGCTGGCCCAGCCCGCAATCGGCCCCCAACACCCTGATCAGGGGCGGGGGCAGCCAGCCAACTGCCCGTGGCCCCTCCCCATGGGGGCGGGCTGGCCAGACCCCACCCGTGCACGAATTCATGCACCGGGCCTCTAGTAAGTTATATAAATGTCTAACCACTATGCTGCACACCTGTAATTAATATAATATTGAATGTCAAATGTAGTTGAAAAAACACTTTTAATTTTAAAAAGTCTGCATTTGGGAGACAAATCCCAATTATTAAAAATAAAACAAATTATAAAATATTATGAATTAAGTTATACTTGTGTTCATCTAAAAAGATTTGAATTCTTATACCCACTTCATTGCTCAGATTTCAAAAGCATATTCAGCTTCAAATTTTCCTCAATTACATTTTTGCCACCTGCATAGTAATATTACCTTGTCTTTCTCCAAATTCTAAGTTGCTGACTATAAATAAATTCTAAGTCATTCCTCTTCCCTGCCCCATTATTTTCCTCATATTATCAGTGGACATAGGCTAACTTTTCAAAATATGCACAGATATTAAAGTGTCATTTCTCAGTCCTAGAGATTATTTCCATCATGTCTTAAGATTTTAAATTCTATCAAATTAGCATTTAAATATATTCTTTAAATCTGTTTCATTTCAACTAGTTATAGTTTATGTTTATTCATTCAGAAAATAGTTATGGAGTGTCCACTATGTACCAAACACTGATTTAGGTGCTTGGAAAACAAAACCCACTGAAATAGTTTTTATCCCAGTATGGGAAAACAGAAAAACACACACACACACCCACACAACATTGTAAATAAGAAAATTATATAGCATTCTAGAAGGTGATAGATGCTATGCAAAAAAGTTAGAATGGGATAATGAAGATTAAGAGAGTGTGTGTAGGGTTGTAGGCTGCAATGTTTAAAAAGTGGTCAGGATTTGCTAAGAATTTCAAGGAAGTGAGGAGAAATTAGCCACTCAGATACTGTAAAAAGAGTATTCC